TGAATGACAGAACTCCCCATTCCACCTTCAACAAGGTGCCCCGTTGTTCCTTTCAACACACTGCTTCCTGCAGACTAAATAAAATGAATGTCACAATGAAAGAGGAGTTAGGTTAGGGCCAATGGGGAGATGAAAAGAGAAGCAGGCCACTTTTATTAAGGTATTTCTCTTCTATATGTTATTTAGGCACACAGGATTTTTACTGAATCTTTCCAGGTTTATATTACTGTTTATTTTGCTTTTAGTTTGATCTGTTTTCTTTAATGTGAAACCTTGCATATCCAGTGATGAAAAGACAAGCTTGTTGGCTATGTGCAGGAAGTCATAACCTAGAACACATTCTCACCCTCCTGATGGAAATCTATGATTTAAACATTTACTGTTAAAGGGAAATGTATAGACAAGTAGAATCAAATGAGTAGAAAAATATATTTCTAACTTAAACTCAATTGCATAAATATTATGTATCACTGAAAGATCCAGTAAACATCTTTTTCGAGAGGGGGTTAAATGGGATGTGGGTTTCTGGTCCCATTCTCCCTCTAGTTATCTGCCTGTAGAAAATAGTGGACCTATGGAAAATGTGTGGACATTTACAACACCCAGGTAGAAGGGAAAACTAACCGAAATTTAAGGGGGTTATTCTCTCAAGAACCGAAGTATCCAGCCGTAGCTTCAGGGGGTTTCTGCTTGCGCGTGCCCCCCGCTACAGCTCGCTGTATACTGAGACCGACCCAGCCGGAACGGATCCCGACAATGCTGTCGTGATCCACCCAGCTGGCTGATTGACGGTGGGCTCTGCCTATCCAGAGGCAGAGCCAGCTGTACCCGCCCCCTCCCCCTTCATTCCTCCAGTCAGAGCTGGAGGATCGGAGCAGGGAGGGGGGTGGGATCCCTGCAGGGAGAGGTGACTGACAGTCACTACTCTCTGCAGGAAGATGATTGAGAAGGGAGAGAGCTATGGTATGTGTTCGCTCACTTCCCGATCTATTGAGCCGACGCGTGACAGTTTAATTGTCACACGTCGGCTCGCACTATGAGGACAAGGGATTTTCACTCACCTCATAGTTCTCCTTTAAGTAAAAAAAAATTAACTATTTTTTTTTTTTTAATAAATAAAAATTTAGAGTAAATGTTAGAGTAGGGTTAGAGTAAAAATTATTTTTTTTGTACAGTAGCTCCAATATTTTAATGTGTATTGTCCATTTTCAAATTATATGTACATACATGTGAATATTATCAACCTCATGTTTTCTTTACTTCACCTGGACCATGGAAAATGCATTGTAAATGCTTTAACCTAAAAGCAAGACCAGCTATCAACCATGTAGTATTTTAAAGCCAATGTTTTTCTGCATAATGTTTCAATGATTTCATGCTGTAATTTTCACATTATGTGTACCACAGTCCAAAAAAAACCTCAGGATTTTATGGTCACTTAATTCAATTTTACACTCCAAATTATTTGAAGTTGGTTAATACAGGTGACAGAATGTTTGGGTATGGAATGAATTATACCCGATGCACAGCCTACTGATATAAAGACGGTATTTTAACTGCATGTATAAAATCAGTGTAATAGATTTTAAAAAACCTTTTCAATGGAGGTGTGTTTTCCTTAGGAAATGTGGTGTACTTTTAACCCAGTTGAAAAACCTGGGAAACTTTGATAGTTAATCCTCCTTCTTCCTGTCACACTAATAGAGCACGCAATATTATTAAAGAAAATATTGGCTATATACCCCCAGATTAGTATTCATTTTGGAGCAAACGGGAAAAATTCAGAATAAACTATTTGATGAATGGGTCAGTAAATTTCATGTTTTGAAGCCTCACGAGGGTAAAACATACAGCTTAATCGCAAGAGTCATACTAATTGGCTCGCACTTTTGAAATAAAATATATTGCACTTCCCTTGTTATTCATGATGAGGAACAATGTGCATATGGAGATTTAGACAGCAAGTGGAAAGGAAAGTATTATTAAGAAAGAAAAAATACAATCCTGTACTATTTTTATGTGAAGGGTAAAAGAACATCTACATTTTGTGTGAAAAGAAAATTACATTTTGTATCTTTACTGCTGTGAAAAAGTGCCACTGTATAAGGGCTAAACTTTGAAGCAGATCCGCAGCAAAGCTTCTTTTAGTCTTGGATAGTGTAGGAGAAGAGTTTGAGCCCCTGACACTTTTTTTTTGTCTGTGCCCTTGATTGGGAGATTTACTTTTTTAGTCCAGTGACAAGTAAACCTGAGAAAAGTACAAAAACGAACCATATAATATACACTCTCGCGACTTATGTATAAAGTGTATAGATAAGTGAATGCCATTTGCACAGCATTCCCGCTACTAGATGGAGCCAAGGAGCATAGGAATTTTCCTGTCAGTTCCCCTAATGGAAATATTTCCCCACACTTCCTGTCCTGGTGAATCCCAAGGTAAATGAGGGTAAATCACCTTTAAGGCCCCGTTCACATATAGCGAATTGTCGCGCGATTTCCGCCGCGATATCGCGCATTTTTGCCGCGCGATATCGCGAGAAGTCGCCGGCCAATGTTATTCAATGGAGCTGTCTTAACTCCATGTCGCGCGTCGCTCGTCGCGGTCGCAAGTCGCTTCTACCGGACCCTTTTTTCTGCGGATTTTGCGCGATTTTGCTTTTTTTCTATGGAGCCCGACGGGGAAGGTCGCGCTACCGTCGCTGGATCGTCGCTGGAACGTCGCCCCGAAAGTCGCGCTATCCCGGCCGTGCGGATCCGCTGCAAAAGGTATGTCGCTAGGTGTGAATGGGGTCTTAGGGTACTAGAGTGTAAGCTCTCCCGAGCAAGGCCCTCCTGTACTGAATTTGTGTTGTAACTGTACTATCACTACAATTATGCGCAAACTGTTGGTGCTATATATAAATCCTGTATAATAATACTACTAATAGTAATAATAATGGTTAAACCGACAGCACTAAAAAAAAAAAAAAAACTAATAAAGATTCAACTCCTTTCCTACTTTATCCAATGCTAACAAAATGTCTGACTTTTTTTGCTGATAGAGGACAGTATAGGAGGGTCCAATTTCTATTTGATTGTGTATGAAATGATTAGTGCATTTTTATATTTGCATAAATTAACATAAGGAAAAGTCTATTGCATGTAAAAATAGATGTTTGTCCATTATGCAAATGTAGTTCGTTCCTTATGAAGATAAGTGTGAGGGTTTGGAAACATATTAAACTTTATTTGAGCAGTAAAGGCAAAAATTAGTTATTTTTATTTTTTTAAATCTTTTTTTAAAGAAATAATTGCTATGTGTTCCTGTAATGTTTCCTGATTAAAAAAATACCAGTATGCACAGTGCTATGTTTAGGGTGTTGACACTGTTGTAAGGCAACATTACACTGTTGTGAGGTTCATTCATAAGTTCATTCTAGTTTTGATAAATTATGGGAAGTTTGGAGATGGGGATTTAGTTAGACTAAGATTATTTTGATTGTTAAGGAATTAAGATGAAGTATACAGCACAGGAAAATTACACTGTGAGTTCTAGGTGATTGGTTAATCCAGCCTGATAGACATTTTAAGGCAACCCTTAGATTTACCGGGTTATGAAGGTAAGATCTGACCATTCAGCCTAAAGGAGCTGTTAGAGGAGTTGGAACAGAGTGTTGTAACTGACCATCTTATTATCAGAAGAACAACAGTGACTGGGGCAGGATTTCCTACCTGCACAATAAACTGTTCCCCTTAACAGCAACTGCCTACTAGTTTAGGGATCTCCTACAGATCTGAGAAGTCTGCCCAATCCAGCCAAATCAGGCTACTGTCTTCCCGTGTCTATGGATTCCCTAAAAATAGTATATATGGTTTTCAAAATATGAAAAATACTGGAACAATGTAATCCAAACAGTTGCAAATACTAAAACTCCACCAGGATCTTGGTTCCAACAAAATACCAAGGATCTACTAAAGCCACCATTATGCTTTATGGATTTAAATTAAATAAGTCTAAAAATGTTGAACTATATGTAAATCAATTATTAAACTCTCATATAGGATTCAACATCTTAATTTTATTTTCATGTTAATTTTTTATCTTTTTAGGCCTACATCCTCATTTCAAAATTCAAATACCTGGTGATCCTGTCATATAGGTCTTTGTACCGGCACTATCTGTTTAGGGTGACAATGCTGACCCTGTTTATTAATTGCGCTCCTGCATTGCCCTGCTTTGTGCTTTTGCCTCATGGGCTACTGATGGAGACTACAAGTGTTTCAATACACATTAAACAAGCATGGTATACTGTTGTTACCATCAGGAAACCTCCCTGAGGAATGCCATGCAGACATCACTGGAGTAGGGATGTGACTGAAAACAGGCTGCTGGGAATCAGCAGAATGGAAATGCAGGATGGAAAAAAAATAAAACAGATTTTAATTTAAAAAAAAAAAATTGTTTATAATACACAATGCTTTAGTAAGCTAAAGGTCATTCAGTTAGGATTTAGACCTATTCAAATTTAGATGTCCTCCAGAGTCACCTTGACACCATTTCATTTTCTGCTTTTGATGTTTTGATCTTGCCATTAGCTTTGTAGGTGTTAATAACTTTCTCTGTGTATTTTTTTTAACAGTCTTCAATCTGCATTTCTTTCATAATGATTAATCCAGTAAATAATTGCTTGTCAAGCACACTAATAGAAATGTCTTGAAATTACTTCAGATATAATTTCTTAGGCTCCAGACTCTGCAAATGCTTTGACAGAAAGGTGAAAGGTTCAAGTGCTGACAAGGTCAGAATAGCATGTATTTAGATATAATACTGGCATGGCTAATTCTGTAATGCTAATGTCAGGCTTTGAAGCCATTCGAATTGTAAGAATTAAGCGTGTTCATGTTATTTGTGTGGAAAGCCAAACAAAGTCCTTTCTTGAAAAGCCTACATATGTTTTCCAATGCAATGATTCTTTTTCTATAATTACCAAAACAATTAAATATTTATGTTTCCATTTTAGGCCCTCCAGGACAAAGAGGCAAAAGAGGTAGACGAGGTGAACCTGGTAAGCTCTCCTTCTTTTTCTTATTCTTACAGGGTTATTCCCAAAAGGGTGCAGAGTTTGGAGAAGGCAGGAGAAGTGAACAATCTAGGACAAAATAGCTGATTTGGAAAAATTCTCCAATTTAGCTCACTTTCCAGTTCAGCTATGTTGTCCTAGATTGTTCCCTTCTCCTGCCTTCTCCAAACTCTTCACCCTTTTGTGAATAACCCTGTTAGTCTTTTTTTCATGAAAGCAGAGTCACTCTTAGCTTGAATTGTAATATAGTATCCCCTCTTACCATCACCTTTCTAGTAGACGTTGCCACTGTAGCAGATGTAAAGACCCTGGCATTATGCAATACACCTTCTATTTTACTGCTCTATGCTGCAAGAAGGAAGTTTTGACTGAGTGCCATCCTGTGACATACCAAGCTATAGGGGTAACGATAAGGCAGCTTTTAAAGAAAAGAGAAAATCAGAATGGAAGTAGAGAGGAAGCAGTAATCTTAAAGAGGTGTTTGCTAGACATATGCTTCCTGTGTTTGTTATTAGGTTATGAGCTTAAAAAAAATAAAGATTTAGCAGTGGGCGTAGGGATAGTGGTTAGGCAGTGGGTTGTTAGGGGTAGTACTTACAGAATTGGTGGGGTGGAGATGAACGGGAGGGACTTCAGGGGTGGATCGGAGGGTGGGATCTAGCATCAGCCAGTCGGAGAGAGTTGATGGTCTGGCGAACTTCCTACCCGCCCCCTTTTTTTGTTCTTTTTGACTGGTTATGTAGCAGGTTTCCTGTGTTGCTCGGGGGTATTGGTGGGTATTGTCATAGCAGCAGGTGAGTTTTAAGATCCTTGAAGGTGGGCATTTGGGTAAAATGTCAAGTGGGCCCATCTTAGGTATGGCTCCACTCCCCCTCTGTTACTAGTTGGAATGTCAGTATAATAGAGGTGAGTGGTGGTATCTGCAATTGTGCAGTTGTCTCTGAGTCGGTGTTCCTGTAGCTGGAGGCCTATCTACAGGTATGCAGATAAAGTGCATTGGTTAAAATGCCTTAATGGACCTTGGACCCCATTGTTGTTTTATCTGTTATTTATATTTTGTTAATAAAAAGGCTGCCATGACCATTAAAACTCCAGTTGGTGTCCTTGTATGGTTATTCAAATGGTGTTGTGGGAGAGGAGATGGCAATAGCAGTCATTCTTCAGGTATAAGTCCTCTTCAATACCCTAGTCATGTAAAAATCCATTTGCAAGTACCTTCCATAGGATGACACCTGTACAACAGCACAGGTCAAACCTGGCATTAAAACGAAGCATAAAAGTATTTTGCATGCAATTAATTGTTTTTAACTTAATCAACCACAGTCCAATACCTATAATTGTATTTTAAAAGCAGTTTGTCAGGATTGAAATATGACATCTGTTATTGCCTTAATTTTTTTAGGTGCAGGTTTTAAAGCTGTTATCTGCACCCAGTGTTTACTACCTGGAGAGTCACTGACCTGGGAAATGTAAGTGCGGACCAGGTGTCAAGACACCTGATTGCTCTAGGTCAGTGACTTACTCAATAGTAATGGGAATAACAGACCCAGTCCCCGCACCTTCAAAAACAAGTCAGATTTGCCAGCTACCATATGTCTGCCCTGGCTTGATTCTCCTAAGGTCAGATCGATGTACAGTGATGTATAGTGTACAGACAAAGCAAAGCCATACAGAAAACAATTCAAGTAATTGCTGCTTAAGGTGGTTCTACAAGCTATTAAATCATAAACTGTACTTAGTTTTTCACACATGGCTTCTACATTTTGGCTTTATGTTGTAAAATAAATAATGACACAGTGTAATATGCCACGTATTACTCATCTGAGGTTGTATTTGCCTAATTTTAAGACCTGCTAAGGACCAGATGATTTTTATGTCCTGATGTGTAAAATCATAGAATTCAAAGAGGGTGTACTTTCTTTCTCACATGACTATTCGTACCATTCCAACATGTGCTTTAGGCAGCTTCAAATTCAAGTACAGTAAACGCTCTGTTATCCGGTATTCAATTAAGCAGAACTCTCTTTTAATTGGCTTTAAGTGTGTTTGTTTGCTTTTGATTACTGCATTTCAATATTAATATGAAGTCAATACAGAGTTTATGTTATGTTATGGTAAAGTATGCGGTATGGCATTAGTTAAACCTATTTGTAATAGTAATTCTCAAGCAACCAGAAACTACATTTATCTGGAATCTACCAATCCCCGTGGATGCCGGATAATGGGGGGTTTACTGTATATTACATTTTGTATATTGGAGGCTCACGGAATTTTGACACCTCATACAGTCTCCACTGAATCTAACCAAGCATGTTTTACAAAATCACCAGCTGCAATTTGTATGGCACCTGTGGCAGGCATATGGCACGTCAGTCCCACAAAAACCATACAGTAGCAGGAAAGAAAAATTCAGTATGCAGTAACCCACCATTCCTTTTTTGAAAGCCTGCGCTCAAGAGATATTTTATCTGGATTAAGATTCAATTAGAAATCTATGAACCTGTTTTGCAGAAGTAGAACAAATTATTAGTACAAATTTCGTACAATTTTATTATCCTTCATTGTAATAATTGAACAATTATTCATTTAGAGGTGCACCTGCAAATCAAAGGGAATAAAATGCTCTTATAGATATATCTGGTACATACTGTAAGCTGCACCAATACGTTAGCCTGTTATAAAAATTAAAATGTGCCCGCCAGCTCTAATAAAACAGACTTTGTGTTACACGTTAATTTTCTTTCCCACAAATGAAATAGATTTACTGCGGTTTGACTTAACTTTCCCATAAATTGCAATAAAAAAGGTAAATGGAAAAAAAAAAAACTAAAGTCACATCTGTGGGATCTTTCAGTGAAAACCAGATCTCTGTATGTACATACATATACTATATATGCACAATACACACAGGCTATTCATCATTGATCAAAATATTTAAATTGTTAATAAAAAGCCATGGTTTAGGCTGGCAATACTGGTTACACTGTTTTACTAAAAAGGTACTCCACTAAAGTTTATACCTAAAGTAGTCTTATATAGTTATAGTGTAACCTCGGTATACCCCTAGAAGAACAATAATCATTCCCATGAAAAAATTTGATATTAAATATATTTTCCTATGAACTAAAACTGCTAGTTACATGCAAAAATGTTGCCCCTGTTGCTGACATCTTACTTTAATCACTTACAGGGATGTTCACAAAAGGGTGAAGAGTTTAGAGAAGGCAGGAGAAGTGAACAATCTAGGACAACATAGCTGAACTGGAAAGTGAGCTGATTTGGAGAATTTTTCCAAATCAGCTATGTTGTCCTAGATCTTTCTCTTCTCCTGTCTTCTCCGAAATCTTCACCCTTTAGTGAATAACCCTGATAATATTCAAAGTAGAAAAATCTCCCAAGATACAAGAGGAGGTCATCATTTTTCATAACTGTTTTAAGGCTACTGTTGCTGATATGAAAATACAATGAATGTCAAGGTTAAATATAAGGCACCGTGTAGTGCCACAGTTTACCTTTAGAGCCTATTCACACCCAATGCGTTGGGGCTGTGCTGGGCGTTTTTTGACAAGGCAATTTGCCTTTTCCAGATGGGCTCGGTTCACACCACTGCATTGCGGTGGTGTGCACTGAAAAAAAAAGTGTGGCATGCAGTACTTTTTTTCAGCACACCACAGTGCCACATGGTACAATTGAATCGCACCGTGGTGTGCCCAATGGAATGTCAATTTTCAATAAAATTCTAACAAAAAAAGTGCAATGTGTCTCAATCAAGTGGATCAGCACATTGCATGGCTGCTGGTGTGAATGGGACCTTAATGTGTCAGTTTCCCTGCAGAGCACTGCCACAGCTACTAAAAATCCAACCAAAAAACTAAAATGTAAATACTGACTGTCAGTATTTGCCTAGGCCAGGGCCCCCTGGTGATTAGGTGCCGGGAGAAATGATAGCATTTGCAGACATGGCAACAAGCCAGGTGGCATTGGGTTGGTAATTATAGGCAACACTTTCACTTTGCTCACCCCCTCCCCAGTTATATAAATGCCAGTTATGAGTTGAATATTTATACATATCCATAGCCACATATACATTGTATTGATACATATACATAGCCACATATGTACACATAACAGCTGAAGCAATGATATATCCACACAATACTAAATTCAGGATGCAAAATTGTGGTAATGATCAAAATGATTTTGGTGCCTATTGATTTTAAAAGTTGAAATGTTTTCTACATCTAATTTACAAGGCAGTAAGAGTATAAGAAAGTTTATTTATCAGTAGAAAGAACATATTCCACTTGTAGACAACTAGACACACAGAGGGGAATTTATCAGCACTGGAGCAGACACAATCTGGAGCAGTTGCCCATGACAATCCATCAGCTTCCCTGTTTCATTTTCAATCTTTAACTGAACAAACTGAAGAGAGAAGCTTATTGGTTGCCATGGATTCTGTCTGCTCCAGTTTTGAACCCCCTGCATTATATTTGTGCTTTTGTACTATTATATAACACATTTCTAATTTTTGTTTTCTTTTCTTTTTTTTCTGGTTTTGTTCCTTCACAGGACCTCCTGTAAGTATGACACTGTTTTTTTTTACATTGTATAATATATTATTAACTGTTGCCTACTGGGATTTTTTTTTTACAGTGACCTTCGTGACATTATATATTTTAAATTAACTAAAGGCTGTATTTTTTGTATTTATCTTTGAAAAAGCCAGAATACTGCACTGGAACTGTTTTACCCCGTCAGCTGGTAAACTAGACTGGGCCTAAGGCCTTGTTTACATGTGCTCTAGCTTTTATAAGAGCATTGTGTACAGAAAGCTTTTACTAAGCATTTGCTGAGCTTTTCACAAGCTTTATGGAAGCTTTTAATATCCAGCTTGGGAAGGTTAAAGCTAAAGTTTAATATTATCCTTATATTTTGCGTTCCCACCATGAACATGCTAATGACATTTTTCAATGAAACCTTTCCATTTTCACAACATTCTTTATTTTAGATGCAGTGATCTCATCAATAATGCTCTGTGCTTCTCTATGTAATGCAGGCAGATCATGACTAGTGGGAGCACCTGGCAGGGTAGTGTACATAACTTCTTGAAGACATCAGGGCACCCTGCTCCAGTACTCGTCTTTAAGAGCCTCAGCCTTAAAGCAAAGCAGTGGGTTGGCTTTTGAGAGGTTACCGAAAAAACTAAAACCCAACAGAAGTTACAGAAAAAACAAAAACACAACAAAATAATGGGGTTATACTCTAACTGCAAAGGCCGCTCACAAGTAATTCAGGATACTGCAGTGACATCCTTGGGCTATTTGCATGTGTTTAATACATTCCCACAGATCAGTAATTTTACAGATGTAAATGCACCATATCACAGAAACCACTTAACTACATCTAATCATTTATTTCTATGCAAGTTTCTATCACTGCTTGGTTGCCAAAAGTAGTGGGTTTTTAAAGCTTTGAGATCAGCTCTGATCGGGATGTGTGGAAATGATGGTTTTAAATCTTTTGCACACAATAAAGATTTTAACACCATCAGAGCCGTAGCTAGCTTCTTTTGCACCCAAGGCAAGAACAGAAAATTGTGCCCCCCAACAGACATGTGCGGTATGTGACATCATGCGCCCCGCCTCCAGGATGGTGGCACGCATGAGCAGAATGTGCTGGTGGCATAAAAATTTGTTTCGTTTGACGAAACTAATGAAAACATTTTTAGTTTCTTTCCGTTCATTTAGTTGGAAAAATAATTTTTAGTCTTTGCACCAGGCTCCCGTCAGGCCGTTTCTGAGGGGAGTGTTTTTGTTTTGTTTTTATTTTTTATTATTATTTTTTTGCTGTTGGGGAGCTTCGGGGAAATATCAGGCCCCTGACATTTCCCTTTTAAAATAGAAAAAGAGATTGAGGACACAGAGTCCTCTGCCCATACAGGTGGGGGAGAGCAGCGGGAATCCGAGGAGAAGCTGGAGCCTGTGCCGCTCCTCTTCTCCCTGCCGAGCTGTGGCTGTGTTGGCCACCTGGCGCCCCTGTGCTCACCATGGGAAAAGGGGCGAAACCTTGTGGGAAATCCGGGCCTGCATATTCCATGCCTACACTTCCAGTTCTTTTTCATGTGCGTCACACCAAATATAGGTGAGGTTGGATGGTGCACACTCATATCTGTTTTAATACCAGTTTAAAATAACCAGGTTTAAGATAAAAATTAAAACTAACATCTTTAAATGTTAAATCTCAGAGATGGTAGCTAGAAGAATATATAACAGGTATAGATTTTGGAACTTTGCATAAAAAGAAACATAAATCTACATCCACGATAAACAGAGAGAAATGTATCCAACTGATAAGATAGTAATGGCAGTCATATAAAATAAAAAAGCTTCATTGCCAAATCTAAAGTATAACTGTAACTTGTAGAGCTGACATGTCATATTCTTTTATCGTCTTCTTTTTTTAAATGCTGTTTAACTCTGATATATTTATACCTGTCAAAACTGTTTCTAGCATAGTCAAAAAATAATTGTATTTTGCTTGATGTATTGTAATATTATTTTTAACCTGTGCTTACCAACTTTTATAATTTATCACTTGCCTATGATTGCTCATTATTAATGACATCTAAAGAGGTTAGAAACTCTGTCAGGTTTTTATTGTTGTCTGTATCTATGTATACAGCAATAAATCCCCATTAGAGGTTTCTTTCCCTGTCTATCTTAAAAATGTGTTGTTATTGCTGTATTCCCATTATGGAGATTCCGCTCATTTCATATCCTGGTAACCACATGGGAAATAGAGGCAGACCTCACCAATGTGGATACAGGCTACGGGAAAGGTCTGCCAGATTTTAGAAAACAATCTGCCCCTCAGAGCTATGTAACATGAACTTTTATAGTTGCTTTGTGAGACTTCTCTCATAGGAAAAGCCACCCAATAGAAAGTGAGGTTTTTTTTGGGGGGGGGGTTAAGGACAATGGTATTTTGGTCACAATAAGTGAAGATTGAATTAGGATTCCTGTGGTTCTTTAATACCATGGCTTATCTGTCAGCACTTAATGATTGTGATGGCCCTGCACATGACTGATATGAACAAGTTAGCTCAAGCATTACAAAGCAGTGCTCCAGAACTCCAAATAAATGATTTCAACAAACTTCCAATGGCTGACATCAAGCATCTCAAACTTAAATGACAGAATGCCTTGTTGAGTATGATCTTTATTGGTCTTTTTGAAAGCTAACCTAATTCCAAGTGGATACTATAGCTTTTATAGGTTAACATACCAATTAAAAATTATTTTTGAAAAGGGAAACCTAAATGCTTACCATATATTTTGAGTATTTAGATTACTGTTACTTTAAACTTTTCACACTGATAACGGTGCAGGATAATATTTTTTGGACTATCCAATTGCTAAATTATGTAAGGAAGTAGCCATAACATCTATAAAATAGTGTGAGACCCGATTCAATTGAAATTTCTAAATTGGCTAAGAACCACATGAAAGGGAACAGAGGGTCACATGCAGCCCATAAACACCAGATAGGCATGGCTGGTTTACATATTAAGTTGTTGATTTATTAAGAGAGTATGTTTTATGCTGACCTCGCTAATCCTAGGATGTTTCATACTGCCAGTAAAAAAAAATCTTGTGAGAGTGGCTGGATGTTTCAAGTGGGCACATGTTCCTTGGCCCAACATACAAGTTGTTAATGCATCAATTCAGTAAAAGGCCTAAATAATAGGAGTTTCACATTTTCAGTGTTTCTCATATATTTGTATGCGGTGGATGGCATAACATTGAAGGTTCACTTTGAAAAGTGGATCTTCACTTAGTGAGGTGAAGCTGTGTTCACTTCAATCATCCAATTATGTGCAAGCAAATTCCTGTTTTGTTTTGTTTTATTTCTCCTGCACATGATTGGATATTCAATGTAAACTCAGCTAGGCGAATACAAAGCGAACACCTTGTACTCATTTAGTAATTCAAGCCCAGTGTCTAAATACAGCCTTAGTTGTAGGACACACCTACACTATATGGCCACATTTTTGTGGACATCTGATAATTACACCTATATGAGCTTCTTGCACTTTCTATTCCAAAACTATAGGCATCACTATGAATTTGTGCTTTCCACAAGATTTTAAGTGTCTATAGAAGTTTGTGCCCATTCAGACAAAAGGTCAGGTACTGAAGTTGGACTAGAAAACCTGGCTCACAACTGGAATTCGCATTCCTCCTAAAGATGTTCATCAGGGTTGAGGTCAGGTCTCGGTGCAGGTCATTCACGTTCCTTCACACCAGCCTCATCAAAACATGTCTTTATTGACCTTGCTTTTTTCACTGGGGCACAGTCATGCTGAACAAAAAAAAAGACCTTTCCTAAACTGTTGCCATGAGGTGGGAAGTGCACAAATTAATGTCTTGGTAAGATGAAGCATTAACACTAGTCTCCATTTCAAATACTTGAACTCAGTCATTTGGAGGAGTCTCCACATTTGACCATATGTAGTAGTAGTAGGGGCTAAAATGTAAAAGCTTGCAGTACAATTCCAGATCACAGCTGGATTCTTTTACCTGGTTAGGCAAATATTTGCACTTGTAATTTGAGAAGCTGAATTGTCTTAAAATTTGTGTGGAAAAATTAGAATATAGATAATTTTTTCACAGTTTAAATGACTGGATGAAATCATACAACTGATTATAAAACACTGTAAAATAGACATGCATATCTATATCATTTGGCTTTGGACCTGTCTACATTAAAAAATAATAAAACTGTAATGACTGAAAGGATTTGTACAGGCCAGGAATACAGATTGTTCTCGGGTCACACTTGACTAGTATGTTTTGCTAGATTACAGAAACAGTTTTGGGACTGCAGTGGTTTAAAAGTCCACATGCAGCAGTAAGTTGAGTGCCTCCTATAAACATTAACTATGGCTTTTGGCAAATTTAAACATGGAAAGCAGACCAAGCTCAACCATTTATGACTTAATTGCAAAACCAATTTTAATAAATGCAGTGGAATTCACAAAACATAGATAAATAATTTTTTATCAACGACCTTTCCAGATTTCTGTCCATAAAGTCCCATTTTTTACACTGAGCCCCTTTTTCCTACAGCTGCCTCATTCACATTTAGAAAGAAAAGTTGGCAAAAGAATTACGGAGTTAGCTGAGCCAGGCTAAAGAAATGAAAGCACATATTTTACAATTCAGTGTAGGAGAGCCATCTAGTCATATTAGTCAAAGTGATAAATTAGTTTATTATACTGATTTAAATCAGTTTTGGGATCTCAGTCTCAGCTTACCGAGAACTGTAATAATTTTAGTTGTTGCTTTTTATATACTTCAGACCCTATTTACAAAAACTGGTGCAAAATACAGCAGAGATGTTCCCCACAGCAATCAAAAGGAATAAAACTAACTAGTTGCTATAGACAACTACCCCACATTTTATTCATATCCTCCAGTCCAATGTTTGTAAATTAACACTTCTGTGGCTTATATATTAACATAGAACAAATAGCACTGATGTACATTTAAACAAATAACCAACCATGTTTCATGTT